ACTTTCAATAGTATTGCCTTCCTTTCCAGAGAGTTCAGGGACCGCACACAGAACTCTGCTGTCATTTATAAACTAGCTGTTGTACAACATTAAGCATCAACACATACATTTCTGTTATTATTTTGAACACAATAGGATTTGTAAGGGTAGGTAAAAATAAGTGAAGGAAACCCTTCCTTTTCACCTATTTGTTGTGATAGTAAAGGATCTATTTTGCTGTGCACTCAAGTCCCACACTTGTCATTGAAGTTCTCTCTGAACTACTTTTCAATTTCTTTTCTTCTTAGGGCACACACATTCACACAGACCCTGAAGAATTTTTACTAGTTCAAATAACAATGTTTTACTACCAATTCTCCTAGTCCACAAGTAATTGTATCATCTACATAGGACAAGACTATTACATTAGGCCACTGACTTCTCTGACAGGTCCCTGTGTCAACAGTCAGCCCTGCAGGAAACACGTGTGCACCTTGGCCCATGCTGCAGGTGCCATGCTGTGCTGGTGGTTGACTGATGGGTAGCACATACCCTGCTCTGGGCTTCTCACTCCTGTCCCAAGGGGCTTGCCAGGTTTGCCTATTGCATGAAGACTTTGGCACTGCCCTCCTCTCCTCAGCTGGCTCCTTACCAAACTTTTCTTTCCTGTACCTTCCATTTTGAGTTCTGGCATAGACCATGAGCCCAACCAACTTGCACCACATCAGATGAAGTCTCCACATCAAACTTTTGGTAAAAAAACATTTAAGTTAGAATGCACATATAAAGTTTTGGCTGGGTTTTGCTCAGATCCATATACAAGTGAGGCAAAGATGGTTGGCTGTGGATGCTCCAGGTAGTCATCTACTCAAAGTACTGAGACCTGTATAACAGGGACTTCATACAAGGGTGTAAGTGATCCAGAAAAATAAAATTTTACAAGAAGTTCTCAATTCATTTAGCAAACAAAAAAATGTACACTTAATGTTAAGCTAATTATGGGAGGAAAAATGACCTAGAGCTGGACAAACATAAAGATATAAGTGCTCAAGGTAAAGCAAGGGGGCCGTGGGTGTTCCCTGTTGGTCTAGTGAAAATCCTGTGATAGCCTTGTTCAGTACCCAGTGTGCTCAGTATCCCAGCTTCTTTCCCTTCCAGTCACTCTGAGGTATATCATTCCAGGTTAACCTGAGGAAGAAACAAGGGTTCGCCTAACATCTTGTTTTCTCATTAGGGTTCATATAGCTTGGGAATTAGAGGTTCTTGGTTAAATATTTAGATCTTTGGAGAGCAGACTCTTTGGGTCCTCACTTTGAGTCATATTAACTGCCCCTGCTGATGACATCAGAATTTTCTCTAAAATAAATATGACTTTATTTGTATATTTTATCCAGTAACATTCACTGAATGGCTATTGAAAACAATCTAATTTCGAACTGAAATATTCATACAAAGGCAGAACTCTTAAAAAGCCTAATTTTGAAAAGGGCTACAGGATGAACCGTGTGGAAGGACTCTTGACATTTTGAGAACTTGTGTAACTTAACCCACTCTTAGTGATTATGTCTAGGGTGAATATGTACTCATCATGGATGACCACTTCTCTTCTGAGGACATAGCTTTTAGAATGAGCTGAAACTAAATATCCTGTCATTCACCCCTGGGAGTGGCCTTGAAATAAAGTGCAATCAGAAAGGGAAAAACAACAAAAATGCTTAAACACATTTGAACAGCTCAGATTGAAAAGAGGTTTTCTCCTACATCTATGAACACACAGCACGGGACCACAGTCTTCTCGTTCAAATATATTGATATTCTGGGACCTTAAATCATCACTACAGGAAATTCCCAGTCCCACAAACTGAACTAACAGATTGAGTAACATATCAGCCAAATGTCCATGCCGGCTTCCAGGGAACCAGCCACACCCATCATTTGGGAGGCAAGTGATGGATGGGGCATTTCCTTCCCCCTGAATGAAAACAAGATGCCAGACCCCACCATCCACCATGTGGCCAATAGGGCACCAGCCACACCTGACCCCCTTACTTAATATTACTGAATATTAAATCAATTTATAAAATGTTACATCCTCTTTATCATTTTGTAAACAGTTCAAGAATTTGCTTTTTGTAAAAGCCATTTTTCTTGAGCCCCACCTCTGAAAGAATAATACTCACATTCACCAAAAATTAAACATTCTTCTTTTGAATAGTTTATTTCTTCCTTCTTCCTCATTCCTTCCCTTCCTCTTTCCCTTTCTCACTTCCCTCCTTCCTTCTTTTCTTCCTCTAAGGCCTAGAAGTGATGCTGTAGCTCAAGTGGCAGATAGTATTTTTTTGTTTATTTCAATTTTTGTGAGAGATTAATATCTTTGTGTGCTTGATTATTTCCCCTAATGTCATATCTACATTGGCCCTCTATGAGATAACACAGGTGCGACTCATCGTCCACACTGGTGTTTTATTATAGCTCACTCAGCAGAACAACTAAATGGGCTAAGATTGAATCAATCACAAGTTGCTCATCACCAGTGATTAATTAAAGAAAACAGCAAGCAATGAAGATATATTGAGGTTTTCCCCCAAGGCAAAATGCTGAGACTCTTGCCTTTATAAATCCACCATATTTTTATAATATATATTTTATTGTAAAGATACTGTACAAATTGGTTATACAATTACATGAATTAGGTCATGAATACATTTCCTATCCAGCATTGTTACCCCTCCGAGAAAGACTTTACTACTATGTATGTACTGCAATAAGGACTAATATCTTCCATTCAAAAACTGAACTGGAATAAGTAAGTCATTTGTACTGTAATGCATGGATCACACATACAGAGGGAGGATTTAAGGGAGCAAGAGAAAAAAAGTTGTTCTCATGTTCTTGCCTCCTATCATAACAGTCATCACTCAATCATTGTTACCCTAACCATGTTAAAGATGATCTGATCAGTCCCACAGGGACAGACCTCATATTTCTAAAAAGAGTTTATCAAATTACTCTAACACACCATTCCTTAGTATAAAAGATGCAAGTTAATAACTTCAATCTCAGAATTACTTGTTATAACTGGTTGTTTCCACCTTTGGATAATATTGAATGACACCATCCCCACTCAACACGATGAAAATATGAGAAATGTTGGCTCAGAGAGAGCTGAAGAGTGAAGAATGATTTCCCATCAAACCTAGCTTATCTCTGCCATGAAGGATTTCTCTGTATAATTTACACAGGTTTTCTGACAAAGATTTTCCTACAATGGGTTTCTTTCCTGGGTGAATGTTCTAATACTTGTTGAGGGTTGGCTTCTGGTTGAAAGACTTCCTCTCATGTTTATATTTACAGAGATTCTGTCATGTGTCCAGGTCTTTGATACCTGTACAGATGGGACTTCGGGCAAAATGTTTTCTATACTCATAATTTCTTTCCTGTCTATGCTCTCACATATGCTGAGGACTCACTTCTGATTGAAAGTCATTTCACGTATGTCCTATGCACTACTTTCTTTTCTCCTATGTGAGTCAGTTCTCTGATGAACATGACGTGTTCCTTTCTGATCAAAGGATTTCCACATTTGTAATATTTTTAAGATTACTCTGCTGTGTGTCCTATGAACTTGGATCCATGAATACTTGGTAAAGGACTTTCCAAAATTGTTACATTTGTATTTTCTCACCAGCATCTGTTCTCTGATGCAAACTGAGTTAAGACTTTTTCTTGAAAACCTTTCCATTTATTTTTCCTACACAGGATTTCTCTCCTCTTTGAGTGTGAGGGTGTTTGTGTGTGTGTGTGTGTGTGTGTCTGTGTGTTTTGTGTGTTCTGTGATGAACCCTGAGCTGTGTCTTGTAGTTGGAGGACTCCACATCTGCTATATCATAAGGTCTCTATCCTGTATTGGTTCTGTATTGCAATTTTAATTTTCTTACAGATCAAAGACTTTCCCATTTAGTACAATCCTAAGTTATTTCATTTGTGTGAATCAACTTATGTGTGTTAAGCTGTGACCTCCAGGTCTTTCCACACTGGTTGCATTCATAAGGTTTCTCTCCTTGAGTTCTGTGATGGATGTTAAGTTGTGCCTTCCAGGTGAAAGAATTTCCATGCCTGCTACATACATTTCTCTCTGGTCGGTTTTTTTCTGATGGACAGAAAGGTATATGTTCTGGGTGAAAGACTTTCCACAAGCTTACATTCATAAAATTTCTCTCCTGTGTGTGCTCCCTGGTGGACAGTAACTTGTAGCTCTTGGCTGAAATACTTTCCACACATATGACATTCATAAGGTTTCTTTCCTGTGTGTGTTTTCTGATGGACAGTAAGGTATGACTTCTTGGTGAAAGACTTTCCACACATGTTACAATCATAAGGTTTCTCTCCTGTATGTGTTCTCTAATGGACAGTAATGTGTACCTTCTGGGTGAAAGACTTTCCAAACACGTTACATTCATAAGGTTTCTTTCCTGTGTGTGTTCTCTGTTGGACAGTAAGGTTTGACTTCTTGGTGAAAGACTTTCCACACATGTTACATTCATAAGGTTTCTCTCGTGTGTTTTCTCTGGTGGACAGTAAAGTGTAGCTTCTGGGTGAAAGACTTTCCACACACGTTACATTCATAAGGTTTCTTTCCTGTGTGTGTTCTCTGGTGGACAGTAAGGTTTGACTTCCAGGTAAAAGTCCTTTCACACATGTTACATTCACAAGGTTTCTTTCCTGTGTGTGTTCTCTGGTGGACAGTAAGGTGTGCCTTCTGGGTGAAAGACTTTCCACACACGTTACATTCATAAGGTTTCTTTCCAGTGTGTGTTCTCTGGTGGACAGTAAGGTGTGCCTTCTGGGTGAAAGACTTTCCACACACGTTACATTCATAAGGTTTCTTTCCTGCGTGTGTTCTCTGTTGGACAGTAAGGTTTGACTTCTTGGTGAAAGACTTTCCACACATGTTACATTCATAAGGTTTCTCTCGTGTGTTTTCTCTGGTGGACAGTAAAGTGTAGCTTCTGGGTGAAAGATTTTCCACACACGTTACATTCATAAGGTTTCTTTCCTGTGTGTGTTCTCTGGTGGACAGTAAGGTTTGACTTCTTGGTGAAAGAATTTCCACACACGTTACATTCATAAGGTTTCTTTCCTGCGTGTGTTCTCTGGTGGACAGTAAGGTTTGACTTCTTGGTGAAAGAATTTCCACACATGTTACATTCATAAGGTTTCTCTCCTGTGTGTGTTCTCTGGTGGACAGTAAAGTTTGATTTCCAGGCAAAAGACATTTTACACATGTTACATTCAAAAAGTTTCTCGCCTGTGTGTCTTCTCTGGTGGACAGTAAGCTTTGACTTTCGGATGAAAGACTTTCCACACATGTTACATTCATAAGGTTTCTTTTCTGTGTGCCTTCTCTGGTGGTAAGTAAGGTGTGACCTCTGGGTGAAAGACTTTCCACACACGTTACATTCATAAGGTTTCTTTCCTGTGTGTATTCTCTGATGGACAGTGAGAGTTGACTTCTGGGTGAAAGACTTTCCACACACGTTACATTCAAAAGGTTTTTCTTTTGTGTGTGTTCTCTGGTGGACAGTAAGGTGTGCCTTCTGGGTGAAAGACTTACCACACATGTTACATTCAAAAGGTTGCTCTCTAGTATGTGTTCTCTGGTGGATAGTAAGACATGCCTTTTTGGCAAAAGACTTTCCACACATGTTACATTCATAAGTTTTCTCTTCTGTGTGTGTTCTCTGGTGGATAGTCAGGTTTGACTTCCAGGTGAAAGACTTTCCACAAATGTTACATTCATAAGGTTTCTTTCCTGTGTGTGTTCTCTGGTGGAGAGTAAGGTTTGACTTGGAGGTAAAAGACATTTCACACATGTTACATTCTAAAAGATTCTCATTTTGGTGTCTTCTCTGGTGGACAGTAAGATATGCCTTACTGGTGAAAATCTTTCCACACATTTTACTTTCATATTGTTTCTCTCCTGTGTATATTCTCTAAGGGACAATAGGGTGTGTCTTCTCGGTGAAAGACCTTTTACATTGTTCATATTCTTCAACTACAGAAGACAAATGAGGACTATATACAGCACACATCTTACCAGGTTCACTGAAAACACCCATGTTCTGACTCCCAGTGACCTTTTCTGTCCTCATTCCTGAGGAGTTCCCATTATTCTTAATCAGGTCTGACTTCTGTTTTGAGCTCAAATTAAAACTTTTTATAAGTCTCACTTTTACCTCCCCTGGGTTACTATTCATGACTGCTACTTCAGAGAGATATTTATTGTGACTTTCCTGACAGGTGCTAATCACATCCTCCATTTGTGGGACATCTAAAATGCATAACAGAAAAATAGACAAAAACATAAACGAGATCCATAAATTCCTTACTGTAAAGGTATTTTCTCACATTTTAAGTGTTACAAGATTTTCAAATATCAAAGCATTGTTTTAGGCAGAAAATAAACTTTTCTCTGCAACATACTATGAATGTAGTACTGACATTTTACAATGGAAAATAATGTTTTTCTGTATTTCAGATTTTTCTATTTTTTTCTAGGAAATATTTACTCAAATGATTCATCTACATACTCTTAATGGTCCCATTCTGAATCTCACTCTATGCCCAGCACAACTCATAAGCTATTGTCCCGATGAGAGAATAGCAGCACGACTATTCTCCTATTTTCCTCCTACCTGCATAATACTGGTTTAAAAGAAAATGAGATCTCCTTTTGTACATGTCTTATTGTCTTTTTCTCTTAAACAATGACTTCTCTACAGACAAAGAGAATTGCTAATATTAACTACACTGGCACACCAAATTCAGTTTGTCCCCAGTGAATTCTGGATTGACAATTCCTTGAGACAAAGGATCACCTAGTTCTCTGCTATACATGACTCAGGGGCACTAAGTATACTATCGTTCTGTACAGCTCAAGATAAACAGATCAACTGGGCTCTGGACCCATCATTAGCATTGTAGATGCTTTAACTCACCTGTGAAATTCTTGTCTGAGGCTTCTCTTATCCATGGTTCTGAACCTTGTTCCAGCTTCACAATCAATTCTGGTTTAGGTACACGGTACCCTGTGAATAAGAAATAGTGGAGAACAATTTGTCTTGTCTGGGTTATCATTAACGTAAGGTCGCAGACATCCTGTTCACAAGGTTGCTCATAAATGTGGTTCCTCAATTGGTTTTGTGGGGGCAGTCCGGTTGTGGGGCCTGAACTCTGGTCCTGGGCGCTGTCCGGCAGATCTTCAGCTCAAGGCTAACACTGTATCACATGAGCCACAATGCCAATTCCGGCTTTCATTTTCTGCTTATGTGCTGCTGAAGAATCGAACACAGGGCCTCATGCATGGAAGGCAATTCCTCTACCACTGAGCCAACTTCCAAGCCCATGGTTTCTCAATTCTTAACTGCTCCATTGTGGAGTAGCATCCAGCTTTGGGTTTATTTTGCCAACTCTGTGGCTTGAACTCAGCTCTTTTTCTAAAAGCTAGCATTATACTAGTTGCAGTCTTCACTACATTTCTAGTTTTTGAATGGTTAATTGGAGATAAGAGTCTCATGGTCAATTTTTTACAGCTGCTGGTTTCAAACTGAAATCTTCAGATGTCAGCCTCCGGAGTATCTAGGATTTGTAGCTTGAAGCACTAAAGCCTGTATCAGGTTTGGTTTACAAATACACACTTTCACCTACTGATTTCCAGAGCATACTGTCAGTAGTAATGTATGTTCTAGACTGTAGATCCACCTATAATAATTACCCAAGTCTGGGAAGTCAGTCTCTTATTAGTGGATCATAGCTTAGAACTTTTGTCCAACTACTGATTTGCCTTCTTAAAAAACGAGAATAAAATTAGCTCTTGTGTTACATATAATGAAGTTGAAGTTTCCCTTAGAAAAAAAATGACACTTCCCATGGCCTCTAATCTTTTTTTTTTTGAAAATGTAATGGTCCAAAGGCTTACACCTGTAATCCTACATTTAGGAGGTGAGATCAGAAGAGGCGGGCTTGAAACCAACCTGGACACGGAAACACAGAATATACCCCAAAACAAAAGCGAAAATAGAATTGTGGCTCAAGCACTAGTGTGAAAGACATACAAGACCATGCTCTCAGACTCAAATTTGACTGGCTTTTATACTAGCAGTTTTTTACCTGAGAATGGACTGGAATCTTCTCCCTAAATAACATAAATAGTCTAATGTCTACTAAAATAAAAGCACTTGATCTTCCAAGTTAAAATAACCTTTGCTCACCCAAGGACATGAGGTTGCTATAGGTCTCCAGCATTACAGCTCTATGAAGGGTCCTCTGACCAGGATCCAGATCCTGCCACTCCTTCCAGGTGAAGTCCACAGCCACATCATCAAATGACATCAGCTTCTGTAATGGCACATTTCCATCAAGAAATTAGACCTGGGTTATGAGAATTCCAACCTGGAATTTCATTATGCTGCAGGTATGCTTTTGTCTTACATAAAATGTTTGCAGCTAGCTTTGTTATCTATTCACTAGGAGAATTAAATACCAAACTAGAAATATTTGACAATACATAAACCGGGTCATTAAAATACTCAGATTTGCAGGGCGCTGGTGGCTTATACCTGTAATCCTAGCTATTCAGGAGGCTGAGGTCTGAGGATCAAGGTTCAAGGCCAGTCCAGGCAGGAAAGTCCATGAGACACTTATCTCCAATAAACCACCAGAAAATGAAAGTAGCACTGTCACTCAAGTGGTAGCACTCACCTTGACCTGAAGAGCTGAGGGAAAACAGCCAGACCCAGAATTCAAGCCCCAAGACCAATAAAAAATTACAGTTGCCATAATGCATGCAATCACATTTCTGCTGCTAGCAATAGAGACAAGATAAAAACTCTAAGGAGACAATAATCTGGCATGATAACATTAAGTCTAAGGAGGTGTCTGAAAAATTATATTATCATTTTTGATAAAATTTTAGTACATACCAGGGTAAAAATGAATTAAACGAATATTTTTCCTGCATTTACACATACTGCTTCACTATAAATCCTATTTAGACCTTCTATTAACAAGTACTCAAAAAGCAAGCAGCACACATTCAGGATATCACATGGAATACAGAACATAGGACATTGCTAGATCTATGAAAAGCAGTGTCCACATGAATGTTCAAAAAACAGTAACAGTACTCCAGAAAGTAACTAATACGTGATTAGGCCCTTATAAGATTTAATTGAGTTCCCACATAAAAATATCCGTGGTTTACCATGTTTGGTTTAAATGCTAAATATTGAAATGTGGTCATAGATACCCTGATATTTCCTTCCTATGTACAAAAGAACTGCTACCATGAAATTTTGTGAACTTTGGCTACATTCTACAATACAAAATATAGGCGGGAGGGAAAAAAATGTTCCTTGACAAAGTTTTCATTTTAATAGGCCTTCATGGAAGGTGAAGGCAAATATAGAGAGGCTCAAGGGACACTCAAGATGACAAAAATGATCAATATGACCAAATGCTCAAATGCATCACATATTCCTGAGTCCTTTCTGCAGTAGATCTCTAAGGATATATTTTCACTTGTGTTAGTTAATAGTGAAATACCTCAGAGATCAAAATCAATTAGTGAGCAAACATCTGTGAGATTTTGCGACAAGTGATATTTCTAATAGAGAACATCTCATCACTGTGTTATTTTTTTTTTCAACACTAGTTCCAATCTTATACTGGCAGTGAATTAAAATATTCAACAGTAGTGGGATGGAAAAACAAAATGAAATACCACATCAAATGAAGTTAGACCAACACAAAATCAGCAGAATACAGATTTTCTTGTAGTGTATCAATTGGTAGAAGGAAGTACTTGTCTGTAGGGAACTCTGAAGTTGGCTGAAGGGAAAAAGGTTTGAAAGGTTGGAAATCCACCCTCACACCACTGAGAGCACTGAGAGCTGCCCGCAGAAGGGTTAAAAGAGAAATCTGGAGAGGGTTAAGAGACTGGAGTGCAGGCCTTTTCCTTACTATTGGAAAGATAGCATCTGAAACTGAGGTGCTGTTGACCTTGAAGCCTAGGTAAGGTGAACTCCATGTCTGCATTTTCTCTGGGCGACAGTCTACTGTTTCAGGAGAATAAGGAAACATGTTTTCCTCACAACCTGTTGTGGCTCTGATTGTACTATTAATATAGATACTTCAATTTTGCATGTTATCAATGGTAATCTTCCCAGTGTGCACTCCAGGAACTATGCGAGCTTTCTGATGTCCAGGGACAAAGTGTCAGAGAGCCTTTGGAACCCTGGTTTCCCATACATCTATCTGTTTGTGTTTTTGTGTTGCTCTAATTTTCTTTGTTTCTGGAATCCTGTAGAACTCTCTAGGCAATAATTTTCATATACTACGGGTAAAAAAAATGTCAATCCTAAGAGCCATGTCAGCAACTTAAAGCTGATCACTAAGAAAATCTTGTTCCAGATAGATCATTTGAAGAAAAGAAACAACTGAGACACATATGGAGGAAAGAGGGATTGAAAAAAGAAAAAAAATGATAGAAAGATAGATACAAAGAGAGAGAAAGAGAAAAATAACCAACACTAGTGAGTAGAAAATCAAAAATAGAGAGAGAAAATAGAGGAAAGAAATCTTGTGAGAATACTTTAGAAAACAAACAGAAATTTGTAGAAAGACCATAAAGCTTAGCAACAAATACAGGTGAAGTTTCAAGTAAGACCAAGACCACGAAGCAGTCCAAGAACTATATATGGAGAGTAATTTAAGTACATATAGGTTAATCATTCCTTAAGAACACATGAAGGTATGTATGACCACACTATTTCAGCAATTCCAGGAAAATTTCATTGAGATAGTTTAATGTTAC